AATTTTTAAATCTTTATAAAATAAAGAGAGAGGGTGAGAGAGTAGCCACAGTAAAGTAACAGAGCAAAGCTACAGTTGTGCTGTCTCTCAGCAGCCTTCTGCCTTAAGTGGGAAGTCTCTGGCTTACAGACACTGACATAAAAGACACATTCACAAAACATTTCAAAGCAAGAGATGAGAGGTTTACAAAGTATATTGATTTCATGATGACTTCAATTCATTAGGTACACTGGGTTTAGATATATGCCTTTTGTGCAGCCATGTTAACCCAGGGTCTAATTCAAAGAGACGCACTGAGGAAGATGTGCTGCCAGGAGAGAGAGCTGCAATGTCCCATTGCTCTTGTAGCATCATAAAGAGAAGGAAAAGAAATGGTGCCACGGCTCAATAGGCTAATCCTCCTCCTTGTGGCACCGGCACACCGGGTTCTAGTCCTGATCGGGGTGCCGGATTCTGTCCCAGTTGCCCCTCTTCCAGGCCAGCCCTCTGCTATGGCCTGGGAGTGCAGTGGAGGATGGGCCAAGTCCTTGGGCCCTGCACCCCATGGGAGACCAGGAGAAGCACCTGGCTCCTGCCTTTGGATCACCATGGTGCACTGGCTGTGGTGGCCATTGGAGGGTGAACCAACGGCAAAGGAAGACCTTTCTCTCTGTCTCTCTCTCTCACTGTCCACTCTGCCTGTAAAAAAAAAAAAAAAAAAAAAAGCGAGAGAGAGAGAGAAGGAAAAAGGCTACTCATGTCCATGGTTATAAGGAGGAGAGAAGCACAAATATTTCAGAAAGGGGGAGCAAATTTCAAATATAGTTATTTTAAGAAAATAAAAGGAAGTAAATTTCAGAATATAATGTGGGGTAGAAAAACACCATCAGCTCATCAATTCTCACAGGGATCCAGGAAAACTACCCTGCCTACCCACAGATCAAATGTTTCAAAACACATTTTCTGATTAAATTCAGAAGATTACAGGACTCAGCACTCTGGGTGTTCAAATGCCAAATTAAGTTTTAGTTTCCACTACGGGCAGATGTAGCCCAATCACTCAGAACATGAGAAAAACTTTTCCATAAGAAGGAACATGAAATATTCAGTCACACAGAATAACTGTGCTTAGTGCTCAAAGTGAACCCCAAGATAAGCACCCAGAAAACCTGTTAGGTCTTGGGGCCAGCTCCATGGTGTAACATGTAAAAATTTATTTATTTATTTAAAAGGCAGAGTTACAGAGAGGCAGAGGCACAGAGAGAGGTCTTTCATGCACTGATTCACTCCCCAAATGGCTGCAATGGCCAGAGCTGGATCTATCTGAAGCCAGGAGCCAGAAGCTTCTGTCAGGTCTCCCATGCAGTGCAGAACCCAAGAACTTGGGCCATCTTCCACTGCTTTCCCAGGCCACGGCAGGAAGCTGCATCTCAAACAAGCACCCATATGGGATGCCAGCACAGTAGGTGGCAGCCTCACCTGCCATGCCACAGTGCCAGCCCTCAAAATAAACCTATTTTTAAAAGCATTTTAACTGAGGGATGGGAGAGAGTTTATTTATCCAAAGCAAGGATAACATAACATAACATAACTACTACACAGAAGAAACTCCTGGCTCCTGGCTTTGGATCGGCACAGCTCCGACCACTGTAGCCAACTGGGGAGTGAACCAGCGAACAGCCTCTCCTCTCTGTAACTCTGACTTTCAAGTAAAATAAATAAATCTTTACAAAAAATAAGATAACTACTAGTACTCATTAACTTCAAAAATATAGAAATTTAATGAAACTCAAAATATAACCAAAATCATCATCTACTACAAATTATAATCTTTGAGAGTCATATTAGAAAAATTTAACCCCTCCCCCTCTTTGAAAAATGCACATGGGACTGGTGTAGTAGGTTAAGCAGACCCTGGCAGTGCCAGCACCCCACATGGGCACTGGTTCAAGACCTGGCTGCTTCATTTCCAATATAGCTCCCTACTAACTCACCTGGGAAAGCAAAGGATGATGGCCCAAGTGTTTGGGCCCCTGAAATCAAGTGTGAGAACCAGAAGCTCCTAGCTTCTCATTTTAGCCTGGCCCAAGCCAAGTCATTGTGGCCATTTGAGGAGTGAACCAATGGATGGAAGACCTCTCTGTGTCTCTCCATCTCTCTGTAAATCTGCCTTTCAAGTAAATAAAATGAATTTTAAAAACCCTATACAATGTAGTATTTTGGTGATTCCCTCATACAAGGAAAGCTCAGATAAACTGTAGAGGAATCTTGCTGGCTTGATGCAATTCAGAAGGAGGATTGCTTCTGTCACCCTGTGCTGGACATCAATGAGAGTCATTAATGGGAAGATGAATGGACACATCAGACTGCTTCCTCACATGGCACCTTTTCTTAAAGACATCACTGCTGCATTACCAGATTATGTCTCTCATATGAAACATATCTCTCCTAAAAATTTTAAAGAACTTGCCAGAAACTTATTGCAGAGCAGGGAATGATGTGCCAAGGACAGTGAGTTAGCCTGAGTAGTCCAGGAATCCTGTTCTTGGCTGTTTTCAAGTTCATATTAATGTACACACAACATAGTTGCTAAGAAAGTGTCTTACAGTTGTTTCCTGGGTGTGAAGCAGCTCTTTTCAGCAGAAACACATCACTGCTTGTCCACTCGCAAACACTGTGATAGGGAGTACATGCGAGAAAAGGTAAAAAACACACTGGGTTTGAGGGGAAGAATGCTGTCACCCTAGCAACCTCTATCCAGGAGTCACTTTCTATTTTTACTTCCTAGGTAACCTTACTATGCTAAATGAGTTTCACAGATTAGTAATCTGGTGACAACAGGACTCTAACAGAATCTATGAATCACTCAGTCAATCAAGTGAAAACTTCATTACACTGAAAGTCTATAGCAATAGTTTTCAGGGCCACATTTCTCTTTTTTTAAAAGATGTTTTATTTATTTATTTGAGAGGTAGAATTACAGATAGTGAGATGGATAGACAGACAGAAAGGTCTTCCTTCTGCTGGTTCACTCCCCAGTTGGTCAAAATGGCCAGAAGAGCTGCACTGTTCTAAAGCCAGGAGCCAGGAGCTTCTTCTGGGTCTCCCACATGGGTTCAGAGGCCCAAGCACTTGGGCCATCTTCTACTGCCTTCCCAGGCCATAGCAGAGAGCTGGATCAGAGGAGCGGCTGGGACTCAAACTGGTGCCCATATGGGACGCTGGCACCACAGGCAGAGGATTAACCTACTGAGCCACAGTGCCAGCCCAAAGCCACATCTTTTACCGTACTGTGTGGGCATCTCTGTGGGGGGAGAGGGGCACATTTTCTCTTTTCTTCCTTACCCATCTTCACATTAACACCTGTACAAAGGCTTCCACAGACCAGTCATTTTGAAAATCTATCACCAATATCCTCCCATGTTGAAAATATCATGGGGTTAAACACAGAACCCAGAATAAGAAAAGTAACTTGAAGCTGGTGTTGTGGCTGAGTGGGTAAAAGCATACGGGTGCTGGTTCAAGACCTGGCTGCTCCACTTCTGATCCAGCTCTCTGCTATGGCTTGGGAAAGCAGTGGAAGATGGCCCAAGTGCTTGGTCCCCTGTACCTGTGTGGGAGACCTGGAAGAAGGTCCTGGCTTCTGGCTTCAGATCCATGCAGTTCTGGCCATTGTGACCATCTGGGGAGTAAACCAGCAGATGGGAGCTCTCTGTGTGTGTGTGTGTGTGTGTGTCTTTGCCTCTCTGTAACTCTGCCTTTCAAATAAATAAATAATTTTTTTTTTTTAAAAAAAAGTAACTGGCCGGTGCCGTTGCTCACTTGGTTAATCCTCTGCCTGCAGTGCCGGCATCCCATATGCACACTGGATTCTGTCCCATTTGCTCCTCTTCCAGTCCAGTTCTCTGCTGTGGCCCAAGTGCTTGGGCCCCTGCACCCATGTGGGAGACCAGGAGGAAGCACCTGGCTCCTGGCTTCAGATCAGCACAGTGCACCAGCCATAGTGGCCATTTGGGGGGTGAACCACCGGAAGGAAGACCTTCCTCTCTAACTCTGCCTGTCAAATTAAAAAAAAAAAAAAAGTAACTGGCCCCCTTAATTAAAACCGTACGGACTGTAAGATAATCAGCTTGGTGGAGCATTGAGTGACTGTAAAGAACTAGACAAGAAAAACTGATACTTTTCTGTATTTATGTTTTTGTAGCTCTCCACCATGAAAATCCAGATTGAAGTAGCTCATTATTAACTCACACAGTAGACTTGCATTAATTTCAGTTCACTTCTCACTTCGCAAAGGGATTAGCAGCAGGTAATAAAAGTTCACATCCCTAATAACATGAGAAGAAAGAAGGGTTGAAGACAGAAATCAAAAAGCAGGAAAATAAATCAGCTACGTTTCCATGGCCTCAAGCTCCAGATTGAAAAAGTCTGTTAATTAAACATGGAGGAGCGATCAATCCACAAAGCTACTGCACAAGCTTCACGTGCTGCTGGGAAAGTCATCCAAACACATAGCGCCCCAGCTGTTAAATGTGTCCGCGGGGTTCAGCATGGGGGCCAGGAGCCAGAGCCCACTCTGATCTGCCATCTCCACCTCTCCACTGCCTCGGGCTCCAGATGAGGGCCACTGAGCCCTGCCCAGCTGGAACTACCAGGGGATATAGCCGGAGGCCCAGCCACAAGGCATTCTCTGACCCACCAAAGTGAGAACTGGGCTTATTTAAATATAGGGAATGGGACTCTTTCCTTCAGCGTGCTCTCAACTGCCCTGCTTGTGCTGTTCCTTGTCCAGTGTACTTTAAGGAGAATTTGAGTGAGGCAGCCCGTGGGACCGGCTGTACATCGGGAGACTGGGAAGCGGCGGTGGGAGACACAACACCTGGGCCCCAGCCTTGACTCTGCCGGAGAAGCTCCCAGGATCACTGAGAAGCAAGTGATCGAGGTCTGGGAGCTGCCACCCACCATCGCACCCTCCCCTCTCCCACACACGCATAGATGCCCCTCCTGTTCTCCATACTTGCCGTGGAAAATCTCGGGAGCACGTCCCCTTTCTTCAGGACACACGGGGAGCAAAGCGGAGAGTGTGGGACAGGAGAAGTCGCTGGAACTTGGGGCCCACGGTGGCAGATGCAGAGGCACAGAAGCCGTGGGCGGCAGGTCTGGGGTGTGTGCTCCCGAACCGCCTGCAATTGCACTTGCAGAGCAAGACTCCCCAGTGAATGTGGGAGAAGGAGCAGCGCGGCCTCTCAGGGACCTCTCTGATCAGTAAATCAACTTCTGTTCCCAACCCGGAACCACAGGGAAAGGCACGCGCATGCGCACGTTCTCCCACATGCACGCGCACAGGCGTTCAGAGCAGGAGACGTTAGAGCGCCAGGTGACTCTGGGAAATGGAGTCCAGGCCAGGACATAAGATAGACTTACTGGCCCTCTCCTAGGACTTCAGTGCAGGGTGGGTGGAGACATGCTGGGAACCAGAGGGCGTTTGCTTTTGTTTACATCCCTCCTTCCCTTCCTTCCCACCCCAGATCTCGAGGATCAGCTGCTGTTCATCCTTTCTTGATCAAAATCTTAAGAACTGACAGCCACTGCTGCTGAGTCCCAAATCCCGGTTCCCTCACACATGCTGTTTCCCTCAGGAAAATCCCCCTGCTGCTTTATTCCTGGACAGCTTTTCTCAAGTAATGAATGACAAGGATTTCAATGTAACTCTCAGCACAGGTGTACACGGCATAGTTTAACATCTAGATTTGAGAATACAATTTTTATTTGTGTCTTATTTGTGGTTCTTTTCAAAGCATTTTACACTACCCTCTAATTCACCAAGTACAAAAAAAAAAAAAAAAAAAAAGAGAGAGAGAGAGAGAGAGAACTGGATACTAACATTGCCAAGTATCTTCTAGGGGCCAGATTAACAGAGTAAATGCCTTACTTTGTATCAATTATACCTTAGGTTAATTCTGGATTAACAAATTTACAAAGAGAAAGCTGAGGTGGAAAGAGATTAGAATTGAATTTGCCCATGGAAGTATGGTAAAAAAAAAAAAAAAAGTCTAGCTTAAAGGCTGACCAATGTGAAATATTGGTTTAAGAAGTCTTTCAGGACCAGCGCTGTGGCGTAGTGAGCTAAGCCTCCGCCTTCAGCACCGACATTCTATACGGGGACTAGTTCAATTCCCTGCTGCTCCACTTCCAATACAGCTTTCTGCTGTAGCCTGGGAAAGCAGTAGAAGATGGCCCAAATGCCTGGGACCCTGCATCCACATTAGAGACCCAGAATTTCCTGGCTCCTGGCTTTGGATCAGCTTAACTATGGCTATTGCAGCCATTTGGGGAGTGAACAAGTGGATGGAAGTCTCTCTCTCTCTCTCTCTCTCTCTCTCTCTCTGTCTCTGCCTCTGCCTCTCTGTAACTCTGCCTTTCAAATAAAAAAAAATCTTCTTTAAAAAAAAGAAATATTTCTTTTATCTTGGGGCTCAGTTTCTAAAACCCCAGATTTCTCATCTCTAAAATAAAAAGTGAGGGAGAGGAAGAGTATCTACAATCCTAATCTTCACTGTAGAGAAACACATAGGATTATAACATCTAAAAAAGAAAGGAGGTTCAAAGTTGCTATTGCTGTATGGTTATTTTTCTCATGCTTAATATCAAGATAGCATATAAATATTATGCATTCTTAGGTATATGTGTGGTGTTTGATTTTTAAGATTTTAAGTAGAAATATAAATGGAAGCAGGATGACATGGAGTTCTGTTTGTGATTACTTCTGTCAATTATAATTCATGGGATTAGAATTGCTGGATTAGGAATGCTTAAATGTATCCATTCATTTCACACTAATGTTTATTATATCAGGCAATATTCTTTGTGTAGACTGCTTTTTCTTGCCAGATTGAAATTCAGGAGGGCAAGAAACATGTTTGCTTTGACATTGAAACTCAGCATCTTGATAGAGTCATTCTTTTAGTTGAATGAATAAATGAGGATATAAAAATTAAACAAATACAATTTCTGACCCCCAATAACTACCTAGTTGAAGAGACAATGAAATAGATATCTATTTGACAACAGACACAATTAGATGAATGTATAATTTGTTGCTCAGAGACAACTTTGATAATAAAAGAGACATATTAATAATGACACAGGGTTGAAATGTATAAACAGAAACCATCCAGGGCCAAGTAGGTTAAATGCTCACCCTAGCTTTGTAAGGCATTCCATTCATTATTTAGTAAGCACTTACTGAGCATTCTTTTGTGCGGTGTGTAGAAAGAACTACCAGCCACATGATTTTCCTAGTTATTGGAGTAAGAGAACCTGAGCAATCAGAAAAATATTTAGATGAACTAAGAGGCTTTACACAAAGGTAAGAAAAACAAAAAGCCGAGAGGTCAATTAAAAAGTATATCAAAGGTAATTTAGTAGGAACTGAACCAAGGTATGGTGGTAGTGGGAATGAAGAAGAGGCAACAGATTACAGGGAGATCCAAAAGGCAGAAACAACATGATTTCAATGGTAGATGAAGGCAGGAGGGAACTCATGTGTAAATCTTCATTTGGATTTTATTATTTAATGGAGAAGGAGTTCCCAGTACATTCATGTTCATCAGTAATAAAAGGCTACCTCCAACTGACATAAACTTCCCCTAAATCCAAGACACAATCTCATGGGCAGCTACTATCTATAAGCCTTATCTTGATCATCAAGTCAAATATTTTTAACTGCTACAATCTACAATGGTCCTCATTATGATGCAGTTACTTAGAAACTAGAAGACATAATCCATTTCTATAAGAAAGGTCTAAATAAAAAAGTAAAATTCAAGGGCTGGCTCTGTGCAGCAGGTTAACACCCAGGCCTGAAGTGCCGGCATCCAATATGGGCCCCTGTTCAAGACCTGGCTGCTCCACTTTCAATCCAGCTCTCTGCTATGGCCTGGGAAAGCAGTAGAAGATGGCCCAAGGCCTTGGGAACCTGCACCTGTTTGGGAGACCTGGAAGAGGCTCCTGGCTCCTGGCTTCAGATTGACACAGCTCCGGCCATTGCAGCCAATTGGGAATGAACCAACGGATGGAGGACCTTTCCCTCTCTTTCTTCCTCTCCTTCTCTCTCTGTGTAACTATTTCAAATAAATAAATAAATGTTTAAAAAAACAATTTCCTGGATTAGTCAAAATGCACATTATAAAGTCCAAGTAAGGTGTCTAGCCACTGGCTCACCATCATGACTCATAAAAACTCACTCTGTCCTGGCTACTCTGATATGAGTGGATGGACACAAAGCAGAAAAGAAAGCAACAGGTTTGAGCAGTGAATAAATGGAAAGGGCTCCAACAACAATGCTGCAGAGCTCTGTGGCTCCTAAATCAATGGGATATGCAGGCAGGCATCTCCTTAATTCTTGCCATGTCCTCAGTTGTCATAGGACCATAGAACTGAGCACAACAATCAGAGCTTTCAAGGCCAACATCCACAATTCACTTAGTGATAGTGGAGCTCTATAGCTTCGCTTCATGAGTACAACTAAACCTCCACTCTTGATATGTCATCCTGTTAGGATCCACTGGAACTGGAGAGTGTATGGGGTCAGAGGGAGTAGAGGAGCATTGTTTGTAGGTCTCATGGTGGTGGTAGCTGTGCAGAGGGAGGGGTGGAGGAGGAGGAGAAAAACAAGAGCCCCTGGCACTGTGGGAATGAGGAGCCGAGGATGAATGGAGACAGGGGTGACTTGTCTGCATTATGCCTGGTACTCTCCTGGGTATGATTGATGCAATATGAATAATGTGAATATCATTATTACCCTAAAGGTTATTTCAGTCCTGGTGAACAAATGACAAGGACATAGATAATTAAAAACATGATAAAAGTTGTGGGTGCAGAATACAATCACCTACATCATTTGTGGATGCCATGCCATATCAGGCAGGAACCACCAGGTTAAGGTCAGATCTCAGGGTTGCCAGCGCTGTGGCTCAATAGGCTACTCCTCCACCTTGCAGCACCGGCCCACCAGGTTCTAGTCCCGGTCAGGGCACCGGATTCTGTCCCGGTTGCCCCTCTTCCAGGCCAGCTCTCTGCTGTGGCCCGGGAGTGCAGCGGAGGATGGTCCAAGTGCTTGGGCCCTGTACCCCATGGAAGACCAGGAGCAGCACCTGGCTCCTGCCTTCGGATCAGCACGGTGTGCAGGCTGCAGTGCACTGGCCGCAGCGGCCCTTGGAGGGTGAACCAACAGCAAAAGCAAGACCTTTCTCTCTGTCTCTCTCTCTCTCTCACTGTCCACTCTGCCTGTCAAAAAAAAAAAGAAAAAAGAAAAGGATCTCAGGGCTGGCATTGTGGTGTAGAGGGTAAAGCCACCCCCAGCAGTGCCAGCATCCCATATGGGCACTGGTTCAATTCCCAGCTGCTCCACTTCTGATCCAGAACTATGCTGTGGACTGGGAAAGCAGATGGCACAAGCCCTTGGGCCCCTGCACCCTCACGGGAAGACCTGGAAGAATCTCCTGCCTCCTGGGTTCTGAGCAGTGCAGCTCTGGCTATTGCAGCCACCAACTGTGAAGTGAACCAGTGTATGGAAGACCTCTTCTCTCTCTGCCTCTCCTTCTATCTCTGTGTAACTCTGACTTTCAAATAAATAAATAAATCTTTTTTTAAAAAGAGTCAGATCTCAGAGGTAGCAGAGCCCAGAAATGACACCATTGTATGAAATGAAAATAGGAAGATGGTAGGTAGAAGCTTGGTAACTAAAGCTGGGATCAGCACATGGATCTTGACTGGCAGGATGTCAAACCAATCATTAACCTGGACAAGGCTGGGATCTCCCAACTTCTATCCTAGTGCCCATGTCTTTGCAGAGCGGCATAACCAAGAAAGAGAAAATCATCTCTGGCCTTGGCTGAGGGGACTGTGGGAGCTCCCCACATTTGAAGCCAGAATCTTTTTAACCCTGAGATTCCCTCTTTCATAGGAAGTCTCTTTTCTGACCTTGTCTTCTTAGCATAAACCTCTCAAGCCATCAGACCCCCCATAGCCCCACATCACAGGGCACATGTGAATGTGAATGGCTGAATGAACAGAATCTTGAGGTATCATGTAAATGGAAGACTCATGAATCTATTCTCACCTTATGGGTGTACTTGAAGGTGAGAAAACTGAGGCAGGGGACTTTGGTCATGTTTGACCATAGAGTCCTCCTTACAAAGGAAAAAACAAAACAAAACAAAACACAGAAAATCCTGTTCACACTTCAGAAGTGCCCAGCCATCCACCCCTGAGTACATGCTCCTGGAACAATGACAAATCCCCTAAGACCAGAGTTGGGCAGGCACTGTCTTGACAGTGTAGAAAACATTTGGGGAGGAAAGGCCCTGCCCCTCTAGAGCCCATTGGTTAA